ATGAAATGTTCATGTGCCCCTAAACTGTTTGGCGAGAGTGAGACCAATGACTGTAACAGAACGGAATGAGGTGCGAGAAGGCAAATAGGTATTGTATGAAACCTGTGGAATACGCATAAATCTCCAGTTGATTAACATAAGTGCATGCCCAAAATTTGACTGACGAATACAACCGGCTACTGTCCCCGACACTTGTGCCATGACATGCCGTGTGCGGTACTACTCAAGTCCAGCTGCAGGGCATTGTTGGGTATTACTGTTACGCACTCAAATAGATCTGTTAGGCGGAGCCCTAAGAGGGGCGTCGTCCGCTAACGTTCATGACGTAACCGGAAGGGTCCGGTATAGCAAGTGAGACTGGCGATGACGAGTCGGCAGCGATCACAGTACGTGCGTGTCACGTGACTTCGTAGACGGATGTCTGTGAAGTCGCTCAAGGTAAGGACAGTCTTGTCCTGTACGATGAGGTCGATCGAAGTAGACTTAGTCGCGATGAGCGACTAAGAAAAGATACTAGAGACTGAAGCTGAGGGGGCTTCAGAGAGAAGTATGTTCCAGGGAAGATTGAGTAGATTCAAGTTAGGGAATCTAGTACAGGGTGACTGACTACTTATACTAAGTGGAGAGGGTTAAGGGCAAGGCTACCGCACAGTAGGTAAGGGTAAAGGGGAAACGAGAATGGTATAGGTGCGTTGGCAACAGAGCCGGATTAGTGATGGGTGGTCGAATGTGGAATGAGACCGAGAAACGTTGGAACGGACCAACAGTAAGAATACAACGTGCGGGAATCCACAGTCAGAAGAAACAGAAAGAGGAAAGCCACATTGGTGGCACGAGTCAGACTGAGTCATAGGTGCGGGACCACATTGGTGGTCGAATCAGAGGAGGAACGTGCGTGCACGTGCATAGAGGCGGGCAATGCGAGGGACGGGAACGGTCCCGAGGATCCGGTCAACGGAAAGGCGGTAAAGGAGGATGAGCTGGTAGATGGTGAGGGCGAGGATGAAGGGAAAATGATAGGGGGGCCACGTGACCGATGTTACTTGTAACAATTACCAGTGTGGTGCCTGGGGCATACATCGCAGACGAGTATAAAGTGAGTGGGATCCAGAGGAGAAGTCGTCCTTTGGGACCTACAATCCATCCCTCCCCATTTGGGCCTAATGAGCCTAGGGTTTTAGAATCTTGGAGAAAGGAGGTTGGGGTTGGGGCGTCAGATTCAGAATCTTGAAGAAAGGAGGAGGTGGAATGAAGGGCATGAGTCAGGTTGGATGAGAAACATATTGTAGGTACTTCAAATGGTTGGTGCTGCTTTAGAAATTCCAAATTCCACACCCGGATGGTCTTGTCGGATGACCCAGACACGATGCATTTACCATCAGGCGAGATTGTGACAGACAGAATGCTTCCGGTGTGCCCTCGAAAAATGACTGCCTTGCCAGTCTTCAAATCCCACACCTGGATGGTTTAGTCATCCGACCCAGACACGATGCGATTGCCATCCAAGGAAATCGCGACAGTGTTAATGCGCTCAGTGTGGCCTTGGAGAGTGGCGCCCACCTGTTCGTCAGTCCTCATATCCCACACATGAATAGTCTTGTCTCGTGAGCCAGATACAAGGTGACATACATCCGGCAAGATTGCAACAGAGAGGACCCAGCCAGTGTGGCCTCGGAGATGGACACGTGATACCGTGCCAGTCCCCATATCCCTCACTTGAATTGTGCTGTCATCCGAACCAGACACTATGCGGTTTCTGTCCGATGAAATTGCAACAGACCGAACATAGTCAGAGTGCCCACCAAGAGAATATACATTGCCGGTCTCCATATGCCACGCCCGGACTGTCCTGTCGTCTGAACCAGATATGATATGATTTCTGTCGGGCAAAATTGCGACAGACCGCACATAGTCAGTATGGCCTCAGAAAACACCCGATGCTTTCCCAGTTTCTGCATTCCACATGCATATACTCTCGTCAGCTGAACCTGACACAATGCCCTTCCCGTCCGGTGAGATTGCGACTGACAGAACAGAATTGATGTGCCCTTGGAGAGGGGCAACCAATGCCTTTCTGGTCTCTATATTCCACACTTGAATTGTGGTGTCATCTGAGCCAGACACGATGGAACATCCATCGGGTGAGATTGCAACAGAATTGATAGAGGCAGTGTGACATTTGAGGGTGGTACCCGATGCCTTGCTCGTAATGGTGTCGGCATCCCACACCCGAATTGTTTTGTCGTATGAACCAGAAACTATGCAGCTCCCATCTGGTGAGATTGCAACAGACCCAACCCAGCCAGTATGGCCTTGGAGAGGGGATCCTATTGCTTCCCCATTCTTCGCATCCCACACTTGAATTGTCTGGTCATCTGAACCAGATAGAATGCAGCTTCCATCCAACAAGATTGCGAGTGACAGAACAGCATCAGTGTGACCTTTGAGGGGGGCACCAAATGCCTCACCAGTCTCCATATCCCACACCCGAATTGTCTTGTCGGATGACCCAGACACAATGTGTTTTCCATCAGGCTAGATTACGACAGAGAAGACAGTGCCAACATGGCCTTGGAGAGAGGTACCCAATGCCTTACCGGTCTCCATATCCCACACCCGGATCATCCTGTCTTCTGAACCAGACATGATACGTTTCCCATTCGGTGAGATTGTGACAGAGTAAACCTTGTTTGTGTGGCCTTGGAGTGGGGCACCAAATGCCTCGGCAGTTTCCATGTCCCACACCCAAATTGTCTTGTCAGCCGATCCAGACACAATGCAGTTTCCATCTGGTGAGATTGCAATAGACAAAACTGAGTTAGTGTGGCCTATGAGAGGAGATCCTGATGCCTCGCCAGTCTTTGCATCCCACACCCGGACTGTTTCATCCTCTGAACCTGAAACAATGTGATGTCCATCCGGCGAGAATGCAATAGACAAAATAGAGCCAGTGTGGCCTCGAAGAGGGGCAGAAAGTGCCTCGCCAGTATCCATATCCCACACCTGAATCGTTCTATCTTCTAAACCGCATGCAATGTGTTTTCCATTTGGCGACAATGCAACTGAGTAAACAACATCATTCGCACGGAGTATCTTCTCCATCTGAGGCCAATTTTCGACATGGCCAGCAACAATGTGGGGGGTGCAAGAAAACTTTGAGGCGAACTTGCAGAACATTCTGGACTGCGTTGGGGCGAACGGCAGAGCGGACAAGTATAAATGGGGAGTGCTGCGTAGAATGGTGATTGCGAAAATTCGGACAAAACACAGTGTATCCCTGGTAGCGTGACCAACATGCGTGAATTCAGCATGAGCCTGCAATCACCCCACTACTCGTAAGAATTCATTGGGAAAAGAATGAGCTTGAGCTACGCACCGAAAACCAATCTGCAACAGACGAGAGGGTCACTGCCGAGCTACCAAGGCCCTTCATCAGGGTCAGCGCTTCCAACCACCAAAGAAGGCGCTCTCCATCGAAGAAAGCTTCAACTTCCTTGGCGAGCGACAACTCAAAGGACACGGAGCCAACATGCATGCCCCAGAATCGACATGAGTATGATAATTCAGTTGAAATAGAATCCTTCACTCGTTTCTCCAATTCAGGGACAGATGAGTTAGGGAAGTAAGAACTCTCTAAGGAGCATATGTTGAAGCGAAGTCCACCCTCCATGACTCGAAGTGAAGCAAAGGCGAGATCATTGTGTACTGATGAGGCATCAATGAAAAAGTCATGGCTCCGCGATTTGTCTGTGAGAAAGTCATAGAAGGATGCGTGGAGGGGACGTATGGGAGTATGGCAGTCCGAAATACCGGTCAAAAGGGACCCCAGTGGCCCAAGGACCTGGCCCACTTCGTAATCGCAAGTCCCTTCGAGAAAATGGAGCCGCATGGCCATCAACGCAGGCATGGGCAGGGGTTCCAACGAGGCAAGGATTTGTCCCATCACTGAGCAAAACACCGGGATAGCTTCCCTGCGCTCGTCCTCCGGCATGATTTCTCCCAAGATGCGTGCATACATAATATCCAACAGACGTGTTCCTCTTTCAGATGTTCCTGCAATCACAGCTTTGTAACGGCCCACTGGACCCACGCCCACTTTGTTCGTACCCTTGATGTATTCACAGGCGAGACGGGCCCATTCAAACAGGCCATCTGATTTCAGAGCGAGCGCCTTAAAGCGTACATCGCTGAACACGTGACGCAGGTCTTCCAGCTTGTGGGAGATATAAAGCTGAATGTCGAGTTCTGTAGACGAAGACGAGACATCATCCAAGGAAATGTGGCGAACATGTGGTGCAGTATGCAGAGTGTTGTGAATGTCTTCAAGTGGACGGGAAATGAGGAGAATGCGGAAGTTGACTGGAAGTTCAACTAGTTGTGAGGTTGAATTGTTCAGTTTTCCAGCGAGTAGACTTCCCGAGAATCAGTTTCACCGCTCTCATCCAACGCATCGATGACAATGAGCACGGGTGCAACGATGGCTTTTGAGGCTATGCTCGTTGGCCCGATGATGAGTTCCTGCCACTGTTTTGTGATATCTGGAGTGCGCTTGAGTCCGTCGTGGTCACGAACTGCTTGCGCCAAGGCTCGTCGCACGATAGGTTTGCAGTCCGCTAATTCTCTTGCGATAGTCGTGAATATTTTGTCTTGACGGCGATCCGCTTGCCGAGTGCGATCGAAGCAGAAACATGAGCCAAGACCACCGTTTTTGATATACCAGTTGGCTATTGTATGGGCAACGGCCGATTTACCCTTGCCTGCTGTGCCAGACAACCATAAGATGCGTGGAGCGCCCTCCTCGGTGCTGCTGATCCAATTCTGAATATCCTTCAAAAGGTCTCGCCGAGTATTTGGCAAACAGCATTTGGACGTATTCAATCCGGCACCTGTTGCGTACTCCATGCCTACAAGGTCCAGGCTCTCAGCTATGCCAGAGGTCGTGGAATGTCAGATAAGGCTCAACAAAATTTAAGAGCATCTCTTACCCATATGGTGAACAATCACAACGGTGTCACGAGCCACTCGGTCTCGGAATTGTTGCATGAGACCGTCGAGAACATTGCTGTAGCTCTTAATCGTTGTATCTGTTTCGTCGAAAATGTGCTTGCCAAGCCTTGTCCCTATACAAACAGGCACCATTGAGTCCCAGAAGGCGAAGCAGTGGGATCAACTCACAGGCACTCTTCGTCTCGGAGTAATGGCTGATGAAATCAGCACACTCCAGAGTCTGCTGCGCTATCTTCCCATATATCGCTAGCATTGATTGAATCTTGGCCAATTCCTCCTCTTCCGTGATGAAAACATAGACTTCAGATATTTTTGAGAGTAAACTGGAAACAGCGACATCACGGTTTGCCTGATCAAGAATCATCTGTCATGTAAAATCTCGTCGCCCTGCGATGGTGATGATTGAGAAAGATGCCTACCTTGGACGCGCAAGTGAAGATACTCAATGCCGCCTTCGCGTAGGGATGGACCTGTGTGTGAATGTTAGTCGCGTATAACAAAGAGATACATGACTGTACATTTGCGATCTCGTTGACAATGAAATTGAATGCCTTCAAAGGTCGAAGCAACGCGGAGAACGTGTCAATTGCATCAGAAACAGACGGTAAGTTGTTGATTGCGGAAGAAGTATCTTGGACTATTGTTGGGACCTGGCCAATGCCTGCGACACCTTCAGTAGCTTCGGCGATCCTTTTGTTAACAAACTTCGGGTCGAGATCTTCGGCCTGGTTATAAACGCTAGCATATCATCAAAAGAGACGGATCACAATATTGCGAACTACATTGATCGAATTTACTTCTGCAATCCACGAATTGAAAGATTGTTCAGGATTCGGTTCGAGTGTGGGAGCGGTGATGTCCTGCAGAAGTGATGAGTAGCAATCATGGTAGACAGAGCATACTCAGAGATGAGATCGTGGATACCTTGTTTGACTGAATGAATTGAATGTCTTGTGGGCTGGAACTTGCAGTCGTGGTTTCAGGGTTGAGAGACTGTCGAGCGCTTCGAGCGAAGCACTTGGTCACCTTGTCGAGTAACTTGGGAACCGACCCTAAAAATCGTCCACGAGACCCATTCCTGGAATCCGGGAGAGAGGATAGCTGTGATCATTACAAATAATGCATAGTTCGAAAGACAGAGGTCCATACATCTTGGCTGGCTGCCCTCCTGCCTCTCTCCTGTACCAAAGGACGGTCTGGATGACTTGGCTTCAACCATCCCCAACTGGTCTTACGATGAAAACTGTTTTCATCCATCGAGAAAGTGTGAGGGACAGATGCGTGTGCGTGTTAAAAGATTCCTTGGTAAAAAAGGAGCGAGGGTGGGTGGAGCCAAAGATAGACATGCACTGAGCCACTGCATGTCTGCCGCAATGAGGATTATTATTTGCATAAATCAATGATGGACATATGTTTGGAAGCGTCCGTTACGGTCGGTCATGCGGGAACGTTACATAATGATCGATTCAGGCTGGAGAAGACTTGTACCGGAAACTCTCCGGTTCCGGCATTTTGCTGATGTAAGGGATTTTGGTTTATGTGCAAATTGGAGCTGCATAGCCGATCGAGATGATGACACGCCTAAGTCGCCCAAACCCGACAATATATTGATTAGCTGTCCATTCGAATTTCTAAGCACCCCGCCCTCATCTCCCTTCCCGCCAGGTTCCTCACTGTCCACAGACCTCCACACATCGCCGACCGTGACGAGCGCCTGCTATCTGGGATCAGCGCCAAGCCTACGACAGCGAGGCATGGATAAGTATCTCAATAAGCTCTCCGCGCGGTTTTCCGTGCAGTTAAAAACTCAATGCCAGTCTGTCGCGTCTTGTATACCTACACACTGCTCTAACCATGTTTCCTTTAGTTAATCCTCGCCTTGCTATCCTCGCCGTCTTACCTGCTTTCTTTTTTCTTATCACATCCCTCAAGCGGTTCATTAGGAACAGACAAAACAAGCTTCCCCCTGGCCCAGTGCCGCTCCCACTGTTAGGAAATGTCTTATCGATCGACACCAAGGAGCCTTGGTTGACTTATACCAAATGGGCTGCTGCTTATGGTACGTGATCACATAGTACCACGGTGCATATGTTGTGCAGATCATCATATCAGGAGACTTGTTTTTCGTGCGACTTCTAGGCCAGAAAGTTGTGGTGATCAATTCTGAGCACGTTGCGAAAGCCTTGCTGGACAAACGTTCTCGCATTTACTCCGATAGACCATACATAGCCACACTTGAGCCGTGCGTTCTTCTGACATTCTTCCATTTAATCATTATGAAGTACAGACAGGTTTGGTTGGTCGGTCGTCTTTGGATTCACAGGCTATGGCGACGAATGGCGTCTTTGCCGACGACTCTTCCACCAAACTTTCCATGCTAACTCTGCACTCAAGTTTCGTCCAATGCAGATCAAGCGGGCCCATGAGATGATCGTTAATCTAATCGATGACTCTGAACATTATCATTCCCACTTCGCGACGTCAGTCGACGTGTTTGTAAACATCGAATGACTGTTAACCTGTTCATAGATTCTCGTCATCAGTTGCGATGTCGGCGATATACGGCTACCAAACCAGTCCTCGTGATGATCCTCTGGTCCGAATCGTAGAAAATTCACCGGCTATTGGCAGTCAGGTGGCAACCCCAGAGAGAGCAATCTTACTTAAAACCTTCCCCTTCTGTGAGCTCATCTCTTTTTCTCATGAACATAGTTGACATTCTGTACTCTGATGCAGTACTGAAGTTACCTGACTGGTGTTGGGGATCCTCGATCAAACGCGAGGCCCAAGCCTCGACCAATCTCATGACTGAAATGACAGAGGTGCCGTTTCGATATACGCAGCAGCATATGGTAGCCATCTTTCGTTTTAAAAAATATCAGTGTTGTCTCAGCTATTACTTACATGATCGTCAAGGCAGAAGACTTGGCCCTTGGCCAGCTTTCGATGGTGGCAGAAAATCTTCAACGAATGGAGAAGCAGGATCAGACATCTAGACCATTGTTTGAGAGTGCCTTGAAGAAAGCAGCTACTTCTGCTATTGCAGGTTCGTCATCTGTTTACAAGGGACAGTATACTGCTCTTTGATGCATATCTACGCAGGTTCATGCGAGACGGTTAGCGGATGTCCGAACCATATTGTCAACCGCTGAATGTCTTCGCAGAGTACTTCGTTCTTGATGGCTTTTGCTCTCGCCATGGTGTCTTACCCAGATGTTCAAAAACGCGCACAAGCGGAGATTGACTCAGTGGTTGGGCGGGATCGCTTGCCTATATTTGAAGACAGAGCGTCACTACCATATATCGAATCAGTTCTGCGGGAGACTTTGCGATGGCAGCCTGTCTCACCCTTTGGTAATCTTCCTCGCTGAGGAATCAAGCCTGCACTGAAGATGATATTATAGTGCCACGTGCTACTTTGAGTGATGATATATATGACGGTTACTTTATTCCAAAAGGTCTGCCATTTTCGTCTAATGAGCAGATCATCGGTAACATCATACATCAGGAGCGACTGTCATATGCAACATATGGTCAGATACATTCTGTCAAGGTTTCGAGATGCTGACGTTATATTGCAGGGGAATTACACGGGATGAAAAGCGGTACCCCAATGCATCTGTGTTTATGCCAGAGAGGTTCATGAACGCCGATGGTGCGCTGACGGACGACGACCCAGCTGAATATTGTTTTGGCTTAGGCCGACGTAGATGTCCAGGTAGGTTGCGTTATTTCATTGCCGTATTGCATATGATGAGCCAATACATTCTTTGATCAGGCCGGTATGCTGCTGATGCCTCAGCGTGGTCTGCTATCGTTACTATGTTGGCCACGGTGGAGTTTTCTTTTGCCAAAAATGACCAGGGCAAAGTGATTGAATTCACCCCCGAATTCACGACGGGACTATTTCAGTACCTGTTTTCTTGTGTTATTTCATCCCGTTACTAATACCGATTTAGTTGCGTTACGGTCTTTCCCTGCAGTATTTCGCCACGTTCTCATGTTCATTCAGGACTCGTGGGTGCTGCTTTACGAACGGGAGAGTAATATGTATGTGACAGTGAAAGACTTGTCATCGTCCTTTTGTATGTTCTGACTTGGGCCAACTGCCAATCAGTCTCCTAGGCGTTCTTTTCGTGCCGCAGTACTCTCAGTGCATCTATATTTGATGCGTCCTTTTTCCAGTTCGAGTTGTGTTGGCACATAGTACCTTGTTCCAGTAGTTTCGATGTTTGCCTTGTCTATTGTTAGTTTCATATTTCCCAACTCATTTGATGATTCAAATTGATTGCGGGGGTGAATTCGAAGCGAATGCGTTCTGTTGTGAATGGCGTAAACCTCAATCCGTTACATCTTGGAATTTGTGCCAAACGTTCTCTGTAGTCGGCGTAGACCCCGCTATAAATAGTATTAGGTATGTCTTCCCCTTCTATGATCATGTGACAATTTGAAATAGCCCAGCGTGAATCTAATAATAAACTCACTCTCGATCACGCCGTATACCTCAGGCTAGTACCCGCAGCAGCTCGTTTCACTTTCTCTCCTCCGCAGGCGGCATTAATCTCTGTTCAGTCACTGCAGAAAAAAATAACCAACTCGTCTGACTTTCCACATATAACCCGACGTAGATTATGTCCCTCACAAATTCTTTATGGTCCTTGAGAGCCAGTTCGACATATGGCATTTCCTTTCGTGCGGGTTGACAGTGAGCTTCTTGGAATGCTTTATCTTCTTAAGTCATTACCGCCATTGAAACTTGCTCTGCTAGGTCGGCTCGCCCTCAGTTAGCAGGAGCATTGAGAGGAGAGACACTCATTAACTCAAATGCGCTGTGGTGAACAGTGATCAAGTATCTCTATCAGCCTGCGATTGTCTGCCTCGTTGTAGACTCGATATGCGGGTCTCCTTGCTCACCGCCTCAGTTCACTGGCATGATTAGCTCAGGCTAGTTTGCTTACTCTATCCTCCGAGGAAGCGAGGTTTTCTGCGTCTCTGATACTTTCGTGAATTTGACTCGAGTTTGTTTTCCTCCCCATTGCGAGTCCTTAACAGGGAAAATATCGGAATCGCGGTGTGTTTTACTTTCGGCGATCAAACCTAAGCGCTGTTATATCAGACTGTCACGATCAGTGTCAGTTCTTCACTGTTCTTGAGTGCAATCCTTCTAGACGCCTTATCGGCCATCTCCTGATCGACACCATGGACTAGTTTCTTGTCAACGAGGTAGCCTGGTGTGCATCTGGAACGACTCGACTCATCTTGACGTTTGTGTCTTCATGCACTTTCCTCAATCACTTGACGTCTACACATAGTCTGAGCGGGGACTACTAAATGCTTCATTTTCTCCGCTTTTGAATCTTTAACTGCAGAGGTCTCCACACGCGTAGCAAAGAAATCAAATGCTCAGTACTCAGTCATGGTCTTGTGGATCGAATGGAGTGCACCTCATCCGAGACCAACCGTATCGAAAACTCTGTGCTCGTTAGATGAGTCAGTGTGAGTCTGGGCCCCATGACCACCAGAACGGGTACTACTTATTTCACCTTCGAAGTTCGATCCGCGTTCCGTTCGATGCTCAGGCTTATAATACCTCCGGCGCACGTCTACGCTCGTTCTGTGACAGCAAGTTATGGGAAGTTATATATTATACCCCGTCGATAATGTAGGCAATCTGTGTCAAGCAACATTATACATGCCATTCATATCTCACTCGAAGATCGAAAACCAATAAACCGAACAAGCTGGGGTGTCGTGACATCATGATATTGCTCGCTGACATCCTATCAAGGCAATTCCCTGTTACAAAGTACATAAAGAGCAGACACCGAGAGTTGGTCGCATTACAAGACACTCGAGGACGTAGAAAAATTAGCTGCGCTATACAGAATACAGATTATCGACGGATTACACATATTTTACGGGCTCAATCGGGGAGTCCATTTGTCCGAGGAAAGATCAAAGTGGAGTACAATCCAGAAGCTTATACCATCGGTCACCTTCAGCTGATCCACTCCTGACGGTGAAACGCATTTTCGGGGAAACGACTGCAGGACCTTCGACTCTGCATACGTGTCATGCACTTGCCCGAGGTTGCCGATAACGGGTTGTAGGCGAGCTACAAGTCGATTGAGAGCATCTTTATCCGCTTCCAAGTCGGTAGCGGGCAGTCCAGACAGAAGTTTACACTTTGCAGCCCCTCAGAGCCTGACAGAATGTGCAAAATGAAATAAGAAACTTACAGATTCGTTGCAGGGAGAAA